GCTTGGGGAACCCATCCCGGATTCCCCGGCTCCCTGTTCAGCACTGGTGACATTTGTTGCAGCCCAGGCTTCTCGGGCCCCCCCCCCCTCACCTTCTTCTGCAGCTCCTCGATGGTGCGGAAGTAGGACTGGTAGTCGGGGCACAGGTAGGGCACCTGCTGCTCACACCACTCCCGGATGCGGCTCTCCAGACTGGCGTTCTCCTGCTCCAGCTGCCGCACCTTCTCCAGGTAGCTGGCCAGGCGGTCGTTCAGGGACTGCATTGTCTCCTTCTCGCTGCCTGTGAGGATCCCCTCCCCAAACCAGCCCCCGCCCAGGCTGTAGCTGGTGGCGAAGCCCCCAGAGGGGAGGCAGAGAGCAGGGAGGCAGCTGGCCGCCCTGCAGTTGCTTCTGCCCAGCCCCACAGAGCAGGAGGAGAAGCTCCGGGCCCCGCGGGCCAGGCTGGGGAGCCTGCAGGAGCTGCTGGAGTACATGGTGGCCGCCCGGGCAGAGCCGCCAACGGGACCCTTGAGAGACCCCGAGGAGAAGCTGGCCTTGAGGCACTTGGAAGCCATGGTTTTCTGCAGCTGGGACGTGAACAGGGGATCTGGGAGACCTGGACACCCCCAAAGCAGAGAGGCTGCACCTCAACCCAGGTTTATATCTTGGCCCCAGTGGGCGTTGGCCTTTACAAAGTGTTTTCTCCTCATTAAAGTTAATACCACTTTCTATGAGGAGCCCTCATTAACCTGTGATTTAGCTTCCCATGAACACGGCCTGCCTCATAAAAAGAAGCCCCGTTGGACGTGGTGGAGCCGAGACTCCTCTCCACGCCGGGCTCCAGCAGCGCTTCAAAGGTCGCTGTTATGTCAGCCAGACCCCCAGCCACTCAGGAGAGGTGTGGGCGGCCAGCCGGCGTCTGGCTCTCTCCTGCCTCATCTCCTTCCAGGGGCCCCAGGGTAGAGCAGGAGGCTGCAGCCAGGGACTCTCCGTCCTGGAAAAGCAAGCCTAGAGGGGGCAGGAAAGTTATACCCTTATCTCTTGGAGGCATGGAAGGCTATAGAATGGCCAAGAAATAGGTCTGTGGTGACCAGTTATCCCGGTTTCCCCAAGGCTACTCTGCTTTGGGGGCCAGAGAAATAGAAAATCAGGCAGAGCACTTGCCTTTATAAGCCATTGACCCAAGTTCCATCCCCGGCACCCCATATGGCCCCCCAAGCACAACGAGCAGTGATGCCTGAGTGCAGAGCCAGGAGTAAGCCCTGAGCATCACCGGGGATGGCCCAGAAACAAATAAACAAACAAAATAGAGTTGAGAACTTATAGAGTTGAGAACTTTTCCATTCAGGACATCATCCTTTTGGCTGGAAAATCGGTGCTGTGTGGGTCACCTCAGTGTCACCTTGGTGTCAGCTGAAACAACTCAAGAGCCACTGACAGGTGCCTGCCTGGCCCCACTGATCATGTGAGGGTGCAATGTAGCCAAGGCTGGGTAAGACATGAAGCCTTTCCTCTGGGGACTTGAGCCCCTACTGGGTTATCACATCCTGAGGGCATACTCTGTGCTCCACACAGACCCCCCCCCCCCCCGACCTAGAGAGGCCACCACAGGAAGATCTGGGATCACCAGGGAGGGGACAGTCACATGGGTACCCATGTGCCACTCTCTCCACTGCCAGCCCTGTGGTGAGCTGTCTAACAACACACCCCACCTCTCACCCAGCACATGGAACCCAGTGGGCCCTGAGCTAAATGCTCAGAACTCCTGGAAACCACCTCTGCTGAGATCAACCATCATCAATCTCCCCAAAACTGGAGTAAATGAGGGCCTGGACTCTTCCAGGAACCTATAAAGGTCTATATAAGCTTCAAATGCACCCTCTGCACTAGTCCCCGCTTCCTGCCACCCCCACCCTCACCCCATGCCCCATGGAACACAGCATGGACAGCAAACTCTCACTTACCCAGCCCTGGAGATGGAAGCCAGGCCCGCTGGTTTCAGGTCTGCACCCCTGCATTGGGCGCCCAGCTCCCACGCAGCTGACTCTTCAAGCCTGTACCTCCTCTCAGTCTGCTAAGCCCTCCAGGTGCTATGCACCCAGTGCTGTAACTGCTGGCTAATCCTTTGGCCTTCCAGGAAACTGAAATTCTCAAACTGTCTTGTGCTTCAGCCCTACCTGCCAGGGATACTAATGCTTGGGAGCAGGACTGATTTCATATTTTTGTGGAAGAAAAAAAAAACCCCTCTGCTGAGCTTTTAATGTCTTCTAAGGAACACATGAATGACTGGATGTACAGCTGAATAAAAGAATGCTTTGTCCATGACAAATTATGAATTATGTTAAGTAAGCAAAGAAAATATTTTGAAAAGAAAATAGAAACAGGAAAGAAAGATAAAGTGAGTAGGGGTGTAAGAGAAAAGTACTTCCAACATTTGTCTCCCATGTTGGAAGCACTTTCAACTTCTCTCCCTGTTTTTTCCAGATGAGGCAACCAAGGCTCAGAGATGGCCAATAATAAGGCATCTCTGTATTCTCTGTATTGGCGGATAGCATTCCACCAATCAGGCCCTCAAGCAGAAAACAAAATGTTCTCCCAGTTGACAGCCTACAAGAGGAAGAGGAGACCCAGGCTAATTCCATGCTGAAGGTGTGGCTGAAGTCTCCTGTTGTCTCTGCCCCACCATCCTCACTAATATCCTCAGTTTTATATACCACCTCTGTTTGTTTGTTTATTTGTTTGTTTGTTTTTGAGCCATACTCTGCACTCTTCAGGACTTACTCCTGGTTCTGCACTCAGAATCACTCTGGAGGAGGGGCTGGAGTGATAACACAGCAGGTAGAGCATTTGCCTTGCACGTGGTATCCCATATGGTCCCCCAAGCAACACCAGGAGTAATTCTTGAGTGCAGAGCCAGGAGTAACCTCTGAGCATTGCCGGGTGTGATCCAAAAAAGCAAAAAAAAAAAAAAAAAAAAAAGTACTATCTCTCCAGCCTATACATCATCTTTAAATCCAGGAAGTAGCCTGTACATTGTTCTGCTCTATCCCTTCTTAGCATTCTTTTTAATAGAGCACAATCAACACTTGGCATGCCTTGTCAGCAAGTATACTAAGGACTTTCTGGATGGGACCTCTGCAGGGGGCTCAGAGGGGCCCCACTGTACCAGAACATACTTGACCTTGCCCTCAAATGTTCTTTTCCCTCCTTCTTCTGTCCATTCCTCCAGGTTTCTGTGTATTCCAAGTCTCCTCTAAAACCTTCCCTCTACCTCCCCACGCTTGGAGTGTCCAGTGAGCATCTAAAAGATTTTTCCTTCCCTGAGCATGGTAGTGTGGAGTGTTGTTATGTCCAATCAGCTTGGAGGGGGGATCCTACCTATCATCCTCTCTATGGCCAGTCCTGTTTCTCCTTGAGTGAGCCCCACCGTCATGCTGGCTCATTGATACTTCAAGGTAAATGCACTCTATGAGCTTCTCTGTGTCCATAGAAAAGAGACGCGCCATCAGCGTACCATTCAGCCCTGTCCCCCTACTGGCCCAGCCCCAGCTCTGGTGCAGGAACAGTCCAGAAGAGGCTAACTCTGGCAGCCAGGACCAGCCCAGGAGGGGGGTGTGGGGCAAAGGTGGAGGGCCAGACACCCCAAACCTAGTCACTGGACACTCCAAGCGTGGGGAGGCAGAGCCTGGTGAAGGGGATGTTGGGGGAGATAGAGCAGAGCAAGAGCAGTTAGAATGGCTATGGGGCAGAGTTCAGAGTTCCCAAATTCCACTGGACACACATTGACACACTGAACACAACAGTCTGGGGGAAGCTGGAAGGTTCAGCCTCTCTCTTCTTCTTCCATCCTCCTGTCTCTCTTCAGCTACCAACACAAGCTCAGAGAGGGCAGAGGGCTGCTCCAGGTCTCACAGCCATGAGGAGCAGAGACGGGCCACTGCTCAACTATTTGGGTTCTAATTCTGGGTTCTTCCCAATTTCCTTCTCTCCCCCACACCATCCACATCATGGGGCATTTGAAACACCATCTCAGACCATCTTGAGGACACAGGGGACAGAGTGAGCACACCACACAGAGCCTCAGATTCTAGCAGGGCTGCTAAGGCCAGCTGACTGGCAAGCCTTTGCTTTTCCTGAGCCTGGGGGTCAGCTCACCAACCCCTCCCCTCCTTATGACCATAGCCTGGGGCAGGGAGATCGCCACGGGGTTGGGGTGCAAGATTTGCATGGTTGAAATGGAACACAGGTGCACGCTTGTACCCAAGGTTCCACATCGGCATCCTCGCATTGAAACATCCCATCTGGGTGACCAAGACCACAAGAAATAGCTCTCCCAGACTCCAGAGCACTGTTTGGGAGACCCAAAAATGAAAGATAAAGTATTTTTGTAAGAAGACAAACTGAGTGAGAACAAGAAACTTTGCATTCGTTTTGTTTTGTTTTGTCTTGTTTTGGGCCACACCCAGCAGTGCTCAGGGCTTACTACTGGCTCTGTGCTCAGGAATCACTCCTGGCAGTGCTCAGGGAACCATGTTTGATGTCAGGGATTGAACCCAAATCAAACACGAGCACATGCAAGGCAAGTGCCCTACTCACTCTACTGCCCTGCCTGTGGCAGGCCCTAGTTTGCAGGGTCCTGGCCAGAGCACATCAGGACTAGGACCATGATTGCCCCTCATGGATCAGCCCCTGAAGAATCCCATGTTCCCATTGGCTGAGTTACCACTCAAAAGCAAACAAAGACCTGACACCCAACACACAGCCTGCATGCACCCCTGTCAGACACCCCACCAGCGACCACACAAGACAGATGCAGGCAAGTTTGCAATGCTAAAAGAACAAACTTTATTGGTTCCACTTCCAGAGAAACCTAATGTTGTGTGGCGTAAAGCAGCCAAGTCGGGAAGGGAACACAGTATGAGAGGGTTTGGGTAGCAGAGCGTGCTAGCGGGGAGCCCCTCTGGGGAAAGGGGACATCACTTAGAGCCAGGAGTCGCAGGGGTGTCCTCCTCCCTGGGCCTTCACATGGCACGGGGCACAACGTGCTCCCTAGAGGAGATGACTTTGCCATCTCTGATCTCCTCGGTGATGGTGCGGATCTGCGTGCTGACCTGGGAGGCCGGGGCGCAGGGCACATTCGGGGTGCAGGGCACAGTTGAGACAAATGGCACCCTGACGGCAGGTTTACACTCCGTGCTGCAGGGGTGAGCCGGAAGCCTGTGGGGAGAGAAAGGTGATGAGGGGAGGTGTGTGCACTGGGTAGACAGGGTGAAACAGACTCAGGGAATTAGGGGGGATAGGCGGGGATGACATGCAAGGGACTCCAGTGAGAACTCTGAGATCCCCAAAGGTAGCAGGTTAAGGCTGCAAGAATGAGGACTAGAGATGGTGGTCAGCACAATGCCGAGGGCCATCTTACTGCCCCCCTGCACCACCATCATGACCACAGCTTGGGGCTGGGAGGGAATTCAGGAGTCAGCCATGCAAGCTTTGCATAGCCGGAACCAAGTTCAAAAAGCTAAGTTCACGAGGATGCATCTTCACTCCCAGATCCACACCCTGATCCTCAAAATGGAACATCTGACCTGAGTGCCCAGAACACCAGAAACAGCCCCCAGCCACCACCCCTGGCCTCCAAAGCACTGCTTGGGAATAAACAGATAGGTAATTTTGTAAATAAAAGAAAAAGAAATTGAGAAGGAGCCAGAAACTTTGAATTTTGATTTGGGGTTTGATTTGGTTTGGTTTGTAGTCACATCCAGCAGTTCTCAGGGTTTACTCCTGGCTCTGTGCTCAGGAATCACCCCTGGCAGTAGTCAGGGAACCATTCCTGATGTCAGGGATTGAACACAAGTTGAACACATGCAAAGCAAATGCCCTACCTGTTGTACTATCTCCCTGGCCCTGGGAGCAAGAGACTTTGGATCTCATTGTCTGTACAGTAACAGCTTCTTATGCTTGCACCCTCACTGTGGCAACTAACCGTGCAGTCTAGGGGCTCCCTCACTCCCACCCCATCCTCCCAGGTCCAAGGGTACCCACTTGCAGTCCTCGCTTTCCAGCAGGCGGCGGTACGTGGCGATCTCCGACTCCAGCCGCGCCTTGACATCCAGCAGCACCTGGTACTCCTGGTTCTGCCGCTCCAGGTCACAGCGGATCTCAGCCAGCTGCGACTCCACGTTGGTGATCATGCACTGCATCTGGCCCAGCTGGGAGCTATAGCGGGACTCGGTCTCGGCCAGCGTGCATTCCAGAGAGTTCCGCTGCAGGGGAAAAGAAGAGCTGTCAATGGGAGGGAATCCCCACCAGAGACCCCCCAACCTCAGGGTAGCTCTGGATCCATGTTGGATCTTGCCTGTGCTGTGGGATGTGAGTATGCATGTGCATGTGTGTGTGTGTGCGTGTGCGTGTGCATGTGCATGTGTGTGTATGTGTGTGTGCGTGTGCGTGTGCGTGTGCATGTGCATGTGTGTGTATGTGTGTGTGTGTGTGCTATGGGAGGGGGTGGGGGCACAGTGCTGTGGCCAGCAGCCCCAGGGGTGGTCCTCACCATGCTCTGCTGGGCCTGTAACTCAATCTCCAGGGCATTGACCGTGCGCCGCAGCTCGATGATCTCAGTCTGGCAACACTGCAGCTGCTCCGAGCTGGACACCACCTGCTGGTTCAGCTCCTCGGTCTAAAGGGGAGCAGAGGGCCCCATGCATGTCAGAGCCCAGGAGCCCCAGAAAGGAGCCCGAAGAGCCCATGGCCGTGGCTGCCTTGCCCCACCTGGGTGTTGAACCAGGCCTCCACGTCTCTGCGGTTGTTCTCCACCAGGCCCTCGTACTGGCACCGCATCTCATCCAGGATCTTGTTGAGATCCACTGGGGGTGCCGCATCTACCTCCACATTCAGCCGATCTCCGAGCTGGCAACGGAGCGTGTTGACCTCCTGTGGAGAGTAGAGGAGAGGGGGCCTCCGGCTATGAAAAAGGTCCTGGATTGGGGGTTCTATTGAGCGGGTCTCCCCTACCCCCTTCAGGTGCCCTGAAACAATATGCAACCCCCCAAGTACCAGGCATCCACACTCACCTCCTACCCAAACAACAGTCAAACAGAAATATTAGCGGGCATGAGAATACCAGATGGAGATTTGGGGGGCCAAAGGCAGGGAGGGGTGCCCTGTGTGACCTCCAGCTGCGGCTTCCTCTCTCTGGGCTTCTATTTCTCATCAGTAAACTGTCCCCTAGTCTGTCTATATCCTGGGATTATCGTGAGGATGAGATGAAAGAATGAAATGCACAAAGCTTTGTCTAGTTCCCACAATAAACACCAGCAGGAGCACTGCAGGTGCAGCCATCAGCACTGTGATAAGCCCTGGCCACTGGGTGCCCCCAGATATGGGGAGCGGGGGAGGGGGTCTGTGCCTCACCTCCTCGTGGTTCTTCTTGAGGCACAGCAGCTCCTCCTTCAGGGACTCCACCTGCATCTCCAGGTCAGCCTTGCACAGGGTCAGCTCATCCAGGATGCGGCGCAGGCCATTGGTGTCGGCCTCCACTAGCTGCCGCATGCCCAGCTCATTCTCATACCTGGACACACACGAGGCCACTGAGTCTGCCGCCAGGAACCCTGTGCTCCCGGGGACCCTGTCCGCTGACAGGCTGCAGTGCAGCTCTCCTGCCAACAGCTCCATTGGGCCTTCCTCCTGGCCTCCCTCCCAAAACCAGGGGTGGAGCATGGGAGCAGGGCAGAGCACGGGAATCCAGAACAGAGACCTGCCTGGATAGGCCCACTCACTTGGTGCGGAAGTCATCGGCAGCTAGCTTGGCATTATCGATTTGCAGGACCAGCCTGGAGTTCTCAGCCTTGGTGAGCAGAATCTGGGAAATAAGGAGGTTGGGGGGGTTGTGGTGGGCGGGGGGCATTTCTATGAGCTAGTGGATCCCCAAAGCACACAGAGGGAGAGCCCAGTTCCCAGAAGCAATGCTTCTGAGCACTCTCTGCACCTGCAGCATTTCCAGCTCAAATACTGAGCACTGAACCCCAGTTCTATGCCTGTTCAATGGGGCATGGACACCCATCTCTTCAGGAGGAAGGACAAATAAGCCAGCAGCTGTAAGACACCAGGGCAGACTTGCCCACAGGGCCCTGCCATGCTGTCTTCCCTAAGCTGAGACAGCAGATGGGCAACAGGGATAAAGCAAGGGCTTGTGATGGGCTACAAGCCAGCGAGTGAGCACCAGGGAGATCTGGATCTTCCCCCCTGCCCTCCTAAATAAAAGACCCTCGAGAAAAACACAGAAGCCCCCATGAGCCATTGTTCCATCTGATGGGTCCCACATGCCTCTGTGCGCTGGCTGGCTGGGAGCAGGGTCCCTGTTACCTTCTGCTGTAGCTCCTCCATGGTCTTGAAGTAGGACTGGTAGTCGGGGCACATGTACGGGATCTGGGACTCGTACCACTCCCGGATGCGACACTCCAGCTCCGCGTTGTCCCGCTCCAGCTGCCGCACCTTCTCCAGGTAGTTGGCCAGGCGGTCGTTCAGGAACTGCATGGTCTCCTTCTCGCTGCCGTTGAAGGAGCCCTCGCAGAGCCAGCCCCCGCTCCCCATGAAGCCGGAGGGGTGGCACCCCGCCGACAGGAAGGAGCCAGGCATGCAGCTGCCCAGGCTGGAGAGGCCCATCCTGACCGACGAAGCCGAGCCCGCAGCCCCAGAGAGACTTGGGACCCTGCAGGAGCCCACAGAGTGGACCGAGGACATCCGAGAGAGGCCGCCGGCCGAGCTGCAGAAGCCTTTGACGGAGCCAGAGGAGAAGATCGGGGAACAGAGCTGGGTGGTCATGGTGCTCACGGAGGAAAGGTGCTGCTGAGCAAGTAGTTGGGCTTCTGTACTCTCCAAGCCTCTCCAGGACCTTTATATACGTTCTCCATGGGGTGTTGGCAGGTTTCTCTTGGGAAAGTCTATTCCTCCTGCAGAAAGCTAATCTCATTAGAATGTGATTTTTGCTGGGCATCCAGAATTCCTTACCTTGTAAAAAAAAAAATTAGTCTTGAATTTGGTAGGCTACGTCAGGACGCAGCTGTTGTCACCTCCTAGCTAAATGTGACTTTTATTGCCTCTTTAAAGTCTTTGCACCATAAACCGGGAGTGGCCTTGCTATGACATTGGGCCACTGCCCTCTCTGATAATCTCCCCTGCAGAGCTCAGACCACCCAGTTCCCACCCCCAGCGCTGCTCCCTGACCACTGAGCTCCTTGCCCCTACCCAAACCTCTGGGTTGATGAAAAGGGGTCAAAGGGATTTCACCTTCGAGGGGTGAATAAGAGCCCCTATTTTGTGCCAGACTCAGCATCCTGATAAGTGTCCTCCCCCAACCATTCTGGGATTGACCATATGGGCTACACTTCCTATTGTGGAAACTGAGGCTCAGAAGAGTTCTGAGTGGAAACCAGGACTCTTGGGGCCCCTAAGCCCTTCCCCACATAACCCAGGTCAAAGGCAGATCCCCAGAATGTAAGGATGGAAGAGTTGGGTTCAAGTCCTCGTCCTCCTGCTTATCACCATGCAGGTCAGTCTATGTCCAGCATTTCCCGTGCCTCTCAGGACCACGATATCATCTGCCCATACTGTGGCTTCATGCCACCAAGAAAGGGGCTCATGCGTCTGTAATCTGGAAATGTGGTTTGGCCAAGAACTGCCTCTGAGGCTGATGAGGGCTGTGGCCTGCCATCCACTCCAGGGGACCGAGCCCCGCAGTGGGGTGTTCCAGAGGGCAGCTTCCTTTGGGGCTCCCCGTTTTTTAACCAAGAATGGCACTGCCCCCTTGGAAGCCCACTCTCTGGGCAGGCTGGGAGATGAAGACTTGTGGGACAGGGAGGAAATGAGGACAATGATTGATTCCAGATGGTTCTGTGAGCTGAGGGAGAATCTGAGAATTAAGGGCCCGCATGCCATGGGTCCTCCAGCCTCTCTGCATGGGTTCCTGGGGTCCGGGCCTCAGTCCTGTGGGTTCCCCGGGGTCCTACTGGGCTTTCCCAGGGCTCCTCCCCCGCACAGACAGGGCTCGCAAGGCTGGCGTTTATAGGCGCATTTATGCGCTTCTCAGGCTGTAATTTACCAGCCTCTTAAACAGCTTTATAAGCTTCTCTCTGAAATTACTCAGGAAGGTTGGCTGCTGACCATGGTGCACACGCCTCATGCCAGGCAGGGGACGCCTCCACGGGGTGCCACAACCAAGCTGATGGGATCCCCGAGGACCAGCCTGTCATCACCCCTCTGGAGGGCCCACAAGGGGCACAGGTCTCCCACCTGCCACAGCAGCTGGCGATCCCCACAGGGGCTCCCTGCGGGCTGGAACAGAACATCTCTAGGCTTCAGCCCCTTGCTTCTGGCATCAGAGACTCCATCTTTGTTTGTTGGGGGCTGCATGCACTTCCTGTCTCTCCCTGCTGGCAGCGCTCCCCTCCCCACCAGCTGAGACAACAAAACATCTCTGGACATTAGCAGTGCACCCCTGAAGGGGGCCAGTGTCACCCCCAGTTGAGACTGACTGCGCCGAGGACAGGACTGGAGCTCAAATGACCACTTTGTTTTCTATAAATTATTCAGAGTCTGGGTGCCCCTAGGTGGCCCAGCAGGCAAGTGCTCAGTACTCAGAGTCACCACTCTGTCCTTAGAACATGTGTGCTGGACCTCACCTGGCCCTGGCCGCCTCTGCTCTGTTCCAGGTCTCAGCTGCTGCAGATACAGAGGAGCACCATCTCACTTCCCCACTTTGTGTGTGTGGAGGGGGGGAAGAGAGAGGGAGGAGGAGAAGTATGTTCTGTTAGGAAGTCACACCCAGGGATGCTCAGGGGACCATGCAGTGCCAGGCATCAAGTCCAGCTCCCTTCATGCAGAGCCTGTGCTCAGTCTGTTGAAGCATCTCCACAGCCCCTCAGCTCTGTGATTTAAGCCCATAGACACCAGGTTTTGGGGCAGGGTAGCCAATGAAGCCACTGCTATTCACACGGGGTCCCTGTGAGAATGAGAAGCACAGAGCGGACCCTGGAGCAGGGGACAAACCAAAGGAAAAGCTCTTTTGGAAGCCTTCAGTCTGCAGTCATGGTCTACAGTCCCCACCGCCATCACTGCTCTGTCTCTGAGACACATAATAAGGAGGAGATGTGGGGTACCGGGCCACATTTCCCTCTCCACTTCACCCCGGGCTCACCTGCACACCCAGAGCCAGCAGACAGCCTCTTCCTGGGTCCCCTTCACACAGGGAGTGGCACCCACGATCCCCCTGAGACCACCCTCCATTCAAGGGTGCTGGGCTGATGGGGCTGAGGTGACCTCTGTAGGTGACTGAGTGTGACACTCAGAGCAGAAGGGGCTCACAAAGCCCAGGACGGGACAACAGGGACAAAGGAGCCTGGCCTGTACTTGGGACTCAAGCTGCTGCATCCCTCTGAGCCCTGCTCTCCCTAAAAGGTGAACAGAGATCAAAATGCCTGAGGATCGTGAGAACGACAATAAAAGAGGCCTGAGAAACCAGATCAAAACTACTCTTGAGGCCCATGGTATCCGAGTCCCAGCTTGTCCTGCTTCCAGGAGAACAAACCCCTTAGCCTGGTTTCGTGGAAGAAAGCTGAGAGCCCTGACACAGCTGAGCAGATGAGACCCCAACTCAGAGGGGGCAAGGGGTCTCTCAGATCAGCACCTGAGCATTACTCAGCACAGTTTCCCAAAGGACCAGGATGGAGGTGCTGGGATGATCTGGAGGGGCAGTAGTAGGCTCAGGTACAAATGAGGAGCGCTTTCTGTGTATTTCCTTAAAGGCATTTGGGGCTGCTGAATGATCTATTTTTTCTGCAAAGGGAGCAATGGGGCCAAATAAATTTAGCAACTTCTGCTCTAGAAACTGCCACAAGGGTGATCCCTGAAGTCACGGGTGCTAGTTTGGGGTACCCAGTGTTCTCTGTGTACCCAGAACCCAGCTTGGGAGCAGAGAGAGGAGAGGAGACACAGCCACAAGGACAGAAGACACCCTAGCGTTTCCAAGGCCCATCCTGGAAGGCTACCAATTTCAAACACAACCTGAGTTGGCGGCCCCTTCTTTGCAAAGTCTCCACCCAAGGATGAGCTGGGGTCTGAAAGCTGACGTTTTCCCTGCACAGGAATCCCCAACCACCCCCCAAATGAAAACCCAGCCTGGCCTCTGTCCCAGTGAGCCACGCACACAGGATGACACTGTCCCTGCAACTCCAGGCAGAATGACACCAGCACCCTCAAGGTGCCTCCAAACCTGGAAGAAGCAAAGAGTGGACCTGGGGCAGCTGGGGAAAGCATGACATGCCACATCTCCTCGTGCTACCTGCAGTTCAGGCCTCACCTCCTGGCTCTCTCCTGCGACCCAACCCTCTCTGCCACCCACGCACACAGGTACCCCACCGTGAGACTCATCCAACACATCTACACCTTCCTCTCTTCAGACCCCATCCAGCACCCTCCAGACAATGGAGTCACCCCCTCTCTCTGGGCTTCATTCCCACCATACACCTGCTTTTTCCTTGTCACAGAGAACTTGCCCTCATGACAACGTGCCCAACAGTCCCAGCCCTGACAAACACGGTGTTTCTGATTTCTGTGTCAAACAATCACATTCAAAGCTCTTGCCAACTCAGCTGCCAGCCTGTGTGTGACTCCAGGGCCTGACAAGCCCTCACAGGCACGCACACAGAGCGGAAGGTCGAGTTCTGGGATGAAGCCAACTTTTCAATTAAGAGGTATCTAGCTGATGGTTTAATCTGTCCCAAGAATCCGAGAAAGGACTGGCTTACCCCCAGGGCACGGTGGGAGGTGGGGCTGCGGGCCGACCCCCTCGGGATAGGCTCAGCAGATTTACACAGGGAAAGCGCCCAGAGTTAGGCCTGAATGTTCCTTCTCTCACGGCAACACCTGCTCAGGCTCCCCTGGGCGCCAACCCATGGCTTTTTGTCTCTTCTCTGGTTGGGGCCCACCACCATGACAGCGAGGTGTCCCTCTGTCCTCTATTCTTAATTCTCAAAGAGTCGCCCACCCGTCACAACGCCCAGAAGAATGGGTTCTGCAGTCCCCCCTCCCAGACTGGCCTCCTGGGGGACATTCCACCCCGTGGCAGCCGTCCTTCATAGTGTGACTCAGACCGTCCTAGACATGATTTGACAAGTCCTCTCTGCTCCACTCGCCAGCACCCCAGCCTGCATCCAGACCTCCACTGCTTGGTGCCCAGGGAATGCAGGATAATTGACCCTAAGGATCCTGGTACCCCATTTCCTGATGCATGGGCAAGTCCAAAGTGGTCTCCCCCAACCCTGATTAGGCCTTGAAAGTTACCACCCACTTCTCCGGAACACAAAGTTGTTTCTCACGCCCCCCTGCACCCCGGAAATGGCAAAGCCCTAGGCATTACATCCTGTTTGAAACAACAGGGAGCCCCAACTTAAACCATACCTCTTGGTGCTCTCCACATCTGCCTGCTGGGGAGGGGGCCCCTTCTCATCCATGGCCAGCTCTCCCCACACCGTTTGCATGCTGACAAGTCCAGGGCCTCCTGCTTCACCCTCGTCGTCTCTGACGCCCCCCACCCACCCAACTTTCACAGCCTGGAGTTGTCCAGAGCTGCAACCACTCTCCCTAAGGGCCAGTGTGATCGTGGCGTGTCGAAGACCACAGCCTGGAGAGAATGAGGCCGGGTGGCCCAGTGTCTTGCGTATGCTTGATTCAGGTGCCACTTAGCTGAACCGCAGAGTGACCGTCCCCCACTGTTGGGCTGGGTTGAGCCTTCGGTCAGGCAAACAGGCCACCTCCTCTCCTCCCGCAGGGACCTCAGGCGCCGGCCACGGCCCCCGCCAGCTCTGACTATAATTAACCCAGCTGCATCTCTCCGATGAAAGAAGCCACAGACTCGTTAAGACTGTGCATAAAAAGAAGCCAAAAGAGCAATTGCCAGTTCTCTGACAACTCCTCCAGCTCCCACCCCCAAAAGAGGCCTTGAAAAGTCTCCCCTTCCTGACCATCCCAAACTGAGGAAAGATGGCCAAGCCGAGTGCTCCGAGCCCCCACGACGCCAGGAGGAGCTGCCCACAGCCCCCAGGGAAACCAGGACGGAAAGGGAGGGTCCCCACAGCCTCAAGACACACTGCCCAGGGCCAGGAGGGGCAGCAGCTACAGCTCTGATCACATCCTGTGTAGGTTCGGGCTCCGAGCAGCCTGGCTCTTGCTCCCCCTCTCCTGAGAGTCTCCTTCCCAGGAATCTGGCTCCCTCCCCACATTGACCGCATTAACCCAAACTACAAGAACAACAGGCATTAAGGGGGCTCCATGCTGCCCCTCTGCCCTGGGTCATGCCCCATGCAAGGCTGGGAACAGGACAGGGCTCGTGTTGGGAAGCAGCTCTGGGGGGAACCCTGTGGCTCCAGGCTGTTGGACCACAGGCCTGCTGTCCTGTCCTGTCCTGTCCAAGGTGAGCCTGCCCCCTGCAGGGCCCAAGTGAGACACTCTGCAGGTGGCAGAGTGGGAGGACAGAGGCGTCCCTGAGGTTCTGTGGGTGGGGCGGCACCCCAGAGAGAGGGAGGCGTGACCTGCTGAGGGTGAGCAGGAGGGTGACTGCTCAGACATTCACATGGGGCCCTGGCCAGCAGCTCAGAAGCCCGGGGAGGCCTCAGGAAAGGGCCCTCGTGCCTGCCTTTTTCCCCTAAGCATTGGAGTCCCGGGAGCCTCATTTCTGTCCCAGAGAGTCTCCCTCAGTGTTGGACATGGACATTTGACTCCCTCGCTGGGCAGGCTCTGCCAGGGACCTTGGCCTGTGAAACGGGCACCAGGGGGCAACTCTGGAGTGCTTGGAAAGACAAAAGGGAGGGCAAGAGGGAACTTCCGTGGGAAAAGTGGGGCAACAGCCAAGGCCCCCAAGCTTCTCCCCCCAGCTCACAGTTCCTGCATGCCTAAGTGTCCACTCACTCACCGTCTGTGGACCCAGAGAAGGTCGGCCCCTGGGGGTATTCAAAGTAGGGGGGCCCTACGGCTTCTTCAAAGCGAGGGACCCAGAAAGTGAAGGTGTGAATAGAGATGGGGCACACTCGGCCTGAACTGTCCTCCTCACCCATGCAGATGAGTTGGGGGGTAAGGTTGAGCCTCTTCCTCTCCTCTACCCTCTACACCCGCCGTGCCTGTGCTTTCCTAAAACCTCCCCAGTTTTGGGACCCTGGAGTCTGGGGAAGGGCCAGGCCTCAGCCTCCAGGTACCACTTCCCCTGATGGCTGAGCTCAGATGCCACAATGCTCCCAGCACCAGCTCGGGAGAGGCCCATTGGCCGTGGCCTGCGAATTAGGGCTAACCCCAGGCTCAGCAAACCTACAGATGCTGGTACCCACCGAGCCTCACTCAGCTCTGTGGCCCCCTCGGAGGCCCCCAAGTTGGGCAAGGGTCATTCCTGGTAGGATCCCTGCCCCATGTGCTCCTTGACCCTCACGTCCCCGTTCACTCCATCCTCCACTGGACATGTTTGCTGAGCTGGAGCATTCCAAATAAAGAAAAACTCATCCCCATCCCTAAGGAAGTTCTGGGTGGGAGAGGAAATGGGGAGGAAGGACTTGGTCAGGGAAACCCTTACTCAGGGCGGGGTTGGCTCTAAGCTCTTGGCTTTCACAGTTCAAGGGCAGTGCCAGGCAGCAGGGGACATGGAGGGTAACATGACCATTCAGTCACCAGGGGACAAGTGGGGTGCCTCTGCCCACTGCCCCCCTGCTCTCCAGCAATTGCCCAGTTGCTATGACATCCATTAGCAAGGGAGTGAGGGGGGAAGGAGCGCTGTGAGTGGTGGGAAGATGAGAAAATGGAAAACAGCAGAAAAGCACCTGAACAAACTCAGAGGCTGAGCTCGTTTGCTCCTCCAGGCAGCACCATTGTTAGCGCCTGTGTACCAGGCTTGATCCCCAGGACCCTGTAAGTGGTGGCTAATGCAGCAGAGACACAGACACAGCGAAAGCATCTGGGGGAAGGCTGCACCTGGGAGTTGGCTTCCCTGGCACCCAAGCTCTGGAGTCCCATCCTGGCTGAGGTGGACCCCAGAAAGCAGAGGTAAAGCCAGCTGGGTGGACCATGGCTGAGACCCTGAGGGGCTCAGTCAATTCTCCAGAGCCTGCAGCAGGCATGGATACAGGAGAAGGTAGTTGGAATGAAGGACAGGAACTTTGCAGGGGCTGAGAGGTGCTGGGGGCAGGGGGTGGAGGGGGCGCCACCTAGTCAGGACAGAATCACATCCCTGCATTCAGCTCTAGTTCCAGGAGCTCCCATGCGCCCAGTCATCTGCTGTGTCCCTGAGAGGAGACCGTCAGCAGGCAGTGACCTGGGGCCAGAAAGGACAGGTGTGCATCTCAGTGAGGAGAAGGATGCACAACCTGGAACGGAGACCCGCTGGAGAAAAGGCACTTGCCTTGCGGGGGCTCACTGCAAGTCCAGTTTCAATCCCTGCACCCCATTATGGTCCCCAAGCACTGCCAGGGCTTCCTCCTGATCACAGAATCAGGAATAGCCCCTGAGCACCACCAAGTGTGACTCCCCACCCCAAAAAACAAAACTGTGGGTTCTAATGATCCAGAGAAATAAGAGGTTCTGTGACACTGAGGTGGCCTTCAGCCCTGTTGCGGGGTCACCGCAGAGATGACCCGTGCCGCTTCCCGCTGTTTCTGGACCAAGCAGATCCCACCCATGCTCCTTCTTGGCAGTGGGACTCAGGCTCTCTGGTTCTGGTGCTCTCTCAGTGCTCACTCAGCCTCTTCCCCCAGGCAGGGCACGCAGGGTCCCTCCCAGAGCTGTGAGGCTTCCTTCCCTGGGGTTAGCATGTCACCACGCCATGGAGCACAGACAGCAGAACTGCTGGCACCATGCAGCACAGGCAGGCGGTACCAAGGCTTGAACAGGGAGCACTGTCAGCTGAGCACAGTATGAAGGGGTGTGAGGGCAGGGGAGGCTGGTGCAGAAGCAACACCTGAGCAGCCACTGGGTATCTGGACTCTCCTCCTGCTGGCCCAGCTGGCTCTTATCAGGTCTCCAAGACCAGGAAGACAGCTCAGCTCCCAGGCATGGGCCTTCCCACTGGAGAACAAACCCAGCAATAGGAGACACAACTCTGAGGCCAGGGGCCTGCCGGGAGGTCATGGCAACACCCAGTAAGGTGAGCGCCTGGAGGTGGAGAAGATGACCCTGCCAAACGATGTGACGGGCAACTTACGGGGAGAGAGGGGCCGAGAGGGGGTGGTCCACCCTCCTGTGTAGGAAAAGGGAGAGTCCTGCAAAAGCTCAGATCTGTGGGGGGTGGGGGGTGTCAATGGCCTGCTCCTCCGTGGAGAAGGGGATCTGGGAGTATCTGAATGAGGGTCAGTGATGAGGTGCTTGCCCCATGATTGGGGGGTGGGTGAAGGCGAACCCCGCCTAGGGACCCAGATGAGGCTGCAGGTCTGAGCCAGGGCCTCCATAGGGTGGGTTTGGGGGCAGAAGGACACTGAGGCCAACCGAGGCTCCAGATGAGGGATACCGAGGCTCTCAGAGTAGGGAGCTGGGAGTACCCTGGGAAGGGTCAGCCATGGGTCTGAGAGGAGATGCTGTTTGTAGGGTCCAGGGAGGCCTAGTGGAGGGTGGGGTTCATGGTCCTGAGACACTTTCTTCCCCTCAGAGCTCTCTGTCCCTCACCTCCCCATCCCCTGGCTCTACTGAGCCCCATGGCCACTTTATCACAGCACCCTCTAGGGTGTGGGATGGCTTCGTGGGGAGATGCTCCCCATCTCCCCACACAGGTCCTTGATTGCACCATCACCCAACTGCCCCTGGGTGCCCACATTCATCTTTAGGGCACGTGTCCTGCATCCTTCCCAGCTGGGATCTCCTTGGGCCAGGCCTTGTTGGGGTAAACCACCCAGCCCCTGCACCCCCCTCACCCACAGCCCCAAATCAGGAGCTCTGGTAGGAGCCTCCACCCTCAAGAATCAGGTCAGAGTCGGAAATTCGTTTGCAAAAGTCAGGAATCTTTATTGAAGGGTTCAGGGGAGAAGCTGAGAGGCCAGAGGTGGGTCAGGAAGAGAAGAAAGGCATCCGGGGGAGCAGAGCAGGGTCCCCCCCACACACTGGGAACAGTGGTTGGGGGATCGCTGCAGAGCGGAGGGACCAGTCAGGTGCTTCTATCCCCACTGCCCTCCTGCAGGAATTGTCAGTTCACTCCCGGAGTGCGGAGAACGGGGCCGGGTTCAGGGAGGCTTAGGACCTGCGTGGGGTCTCGGAAGTGCGGCGCATGTTGGAGCCCCCAGAGCTGGCGTTTCCTGGGGAGAGAAGAAATCGCACGAGGCTCAGACTGGAGAAGGGCCATCCAGGAGGGACCCCCCTTCCAAACCCCTCTCGTGGGTGAGGTTGGGCTGAGCTATGCCCCCTCCTATGTGATGGACCCCAAAGGGGCTCTCTCTGCAGCAGTCCAGCAGCTCTGGGGGCAGAAGGGGAGCAGATCACCCCATGGTCCCCTCCCTCCCTCCACATGGCCTTCCTGCACCCTCACCCAACCCATACACACTTACCTCCAGCAGCAGAAGTGAAGCCAGACATCCTGGGAGAGAAGAGGGAGGAAGCATGAGGAGGGGGTCCTCAGAGCCTTACTGTCAGGGGGCGGGGGGTGCGGGAAGAGGAGGGAAGGGGAGGAGAACAACACCAGGTGCCTGCCAGGCCTGTCTGTCCATCCTTCAGTCTGTCTATGAGGCCTTGGAAGAGCTATCAGTGATGACCCCAAGATTCAGGGCATTTGCCTGTTTCTCCCTCCCTCTGACTCAGATTCACAACCCCTGCCCTGAGCCCACCAGGACGGACAGTCCCGGCACACACTCAGCTGGACACGGGCACGTGGACACGAGAGCGCTTGGCAGCACTGACGGCAAGGCTACTCCTTCCGACGGCTGAGCTTCCCCACGGTCCATGCTCCAGCCCAAGCGAAAGCCTGCCGTGGACGGGCATGCTCTGAGGACATGTCCAAGCAGGAGCACAGGAGCATGAGTGAGGAGCACTCCGGCATCAGGGAATCCCCCCCCACACACACACACCCCAGAGTCACATCCCAAGGGGCTAAGCTCCAAGGCCCTGGCTGCTGTGGGCGACATCCCAGGGCCCTTACAGCTTTATCTGAGGGGGAAAGAGTGAACAAGAGGGAGGGAGGAAGGGAGGGAGGTAGGGAGCCTGAGTCCTACTTGGAGTCCTGGCCCTCCAGCAGGCTGCGGTAGGTGGCGATCTCCTGCTCCAGCCGCGTCTTGATGTCCAGCAGCATCTTGTACTCCTGGTTCTGACACTCCATCTCGCTGCGGAGCTCACTCAGCTGCGCCTCAATGCTGCTGATGAGCCCCTGGATCTGCTGCAGTTGCAGGGCGTAGCGGCACTCGGTCTCGGCCACTGAGCTCTCCAGGCCGGCTTTCTGCGGGAGGGTAAGAGGGAGGTGAGGAAGGAGCCAGGGCTGGTGAGGTCTGGAGGGGGTGACCGCTGTGGGGGTGGGTGGTGTGCGGGGAATGGGGAGGGGCGGGTAGTAGGGGTACCATGCTGAGCTGGGACTGCAGCTCGATCTCCAGGCCCTGCAGCGTGCGTCTGAGCTCTGTGATCTCCGTCTTGCTGCTCTGGATCATCTCCGTGCTGGAGGTCACCTCCTTGTTCAGCTCTGCGCTCTGGAATTCAGGCAGGAGGAAGGTGAGCAAGGAGCCTGGCTGCATGGCCCTGGGTTCCGCTGCCTCCCTGCAGGGAGCAGGACTGGTACCTTCTGGTGGAACCATTCCTCAGCGTCACGCCTGTTCTTCTCGGCCATGGCCTCATACTGCTCCCTCATCTCGGCCAGCACGCGAGTGAGGTCAATGCCTGGGGTGGCGTCCATCTCCACGTTGACCTGGCCGACCACCTGGTTGCTGAACTCCTTCATCTCCTGCGGGGATAGGGAGGCAAAATGAGTGATGCAGCCCCTCATCGGCCCCCCCGCACCAACCCACCCACCTCTCCTTGGTTCTGAATGTTCGCAGAATGTTCTAGAAAACACCTTCAAGTACCACTGCAGAGGGTTAAGTCTAGCCAGGGCAGAGGACTCCCCACTCTCCCCAGAGGTGAGCCAGCCATGGCCTGTCCCTGGTCTCACCTCCTCATGGTTCTTCTTCAGGTAGGCCAACTCCTCATTCAGGCTCTCAATCTGCATCTCCAGGTCAGTCTTGGACAGGGTCAGCTCATCCAGCACCCGGCGCAAGCCGTTGATGTCGGCCTCCACGCTCTGGCGCAGGGTCAGCTCATTCTCATACCTAAAGGATTGTTGTTTTCGTTGAAAAATAAAATCCCAGACATATATTACATGCATTCCCCATCCCTGCCCTAGACTCGGAGGCTCCAAGTCCATTGTTGAGGTGGTCTTCTGTCCAGATAGAGGCTGTGTGATGAGGGGAAGGCAGAAAAGCAACTCACTTAAGCCTGAAGTCGTCAGCGGCCAGCCGGGCGTTGTCAATCTCCAGGATGACCCGGTTATTGTCGATGGTGGCCGCCAGGATCTGCAAGAGACACAAGCTAAGTGACTTTTGGAGGGTCATGAGCTTTGTGAGGACAGAGAAAACCCGGGCAAGGCCCTACTGCCTCTTCCCTGTCCCAGTGAGCTGGGACAAGGCCCCATCCCCTCAGCCACTGTCCCTCTGCAAGACAGTCTGTGGAGGCCATGAGTGTCTTGCATGTCCTGCCTGCTCAGGCTGGCCGTGCTGGGGAAGGGCAGGCTGTGCCTTTCAGGGAAGACCTGCCAGGAACATCTCAAGTGAGTCCTGCCTGAAGATGCCCTCAAGAGCAAGCCATGTAGACCACACCATGTGGACCACAGTTACAAGTGGCTTCCAGGTCTGAACAAAAGCTCCTTGCTAGCTCTGTAGAGCACATTGTCTCTCCAGGACCGACCTTTCAGCTCAGCAGCAGAGGGCAAGCCAAAGAATCTTCCATCCATTTCAAATCCTTTGTCTAAATTTTTATATGTCAAAGCACTGCAAATCCAGCCCCATGAAGCCAAGAGTCAGCCCAGGCAGGTGTGTTTCCGTTCCTACATGCAGGCCCGACAGTCTGATGGACAGGTCTTGATAGAGAGAATCTTGGCCTCAGCCACCAGCCCCCACTTGTCTCCCCGATCTTCTCGGGGAGCCAATGAGAACAGCCATTTAAAAGGGGCCCCTCCAAACTGCACTTAGATTCCCAGGCCAATGAATGTTATCCTCTTTCTGTTGATTCTACTCATTCTTCTAGGCTCTTAAGAGCTGTCAGGCTTTGCAAATAACTGCAGGGTTAGGATTACAGAACTCCAGTCATAAATAACATAACTGTTTGGAAAGCAGTAAAAAAAAAAAAAGGAGGGGTGAGTAATAAGGACAATAAAAATGAAAACTGGAAGAAATGCCTCTGCAGCAATGTGGCGTGAACAAACCCATCCAAGCAGAGATGCTAAAAATCTCGAGCCTGCCCCCATGCACAAGATGTGGCTGTTGTGTCCCACACTGCCTCTTCCCTAGGAGGCTGGGGATGTCTTCTGCGGCTCTGCCAGCACCGAAGCAGCCCTCTGCACCCCCCAGTGGTTCACCTTCTCCCGCAGCTCCTCGATGGTCTTGTAGTAGGGGCTGTAGTCGCGCTCGGGGCTGCTGGGGCTCTGCTTAAGGTGCCAGTCGCGGATCTTCACCTCCAGCTCAGCGTTGGCTGCCTCCAGGGCGCGCACCTTGTCCAGGTAGGAGGCCAGGCGGTCGTTGAGGTTCTGCATGGTGATCTTCTCATTGCCAGAGAGGAGGCCGCCGTCGCTTCCTCCAAAGTCGCCGCCAAAACCCCCACCGAAGCCACCGCCGAAGCCACCACCGAAGCCACCTCCGAAGCTGCCCCCAAAACCACCACCGGCCCCACCTCCGAAGCCGCAGCTCATGCCGCCCCCAAAGCCCCCGGAGGAGCCCCCAGACACAAAGCGGGAAGAGCAGGATGAGACCCCGCGGCCTCCTCCCAGTTGGCAAGAGCCACCTCCAAAACCACCTCCATAGCTGGCGGAGGAGCTCTGCATACGGCAACTCATGGCGGAGAGTGAGAAGAGAGACGAGGACAAGAGCGAGAGCAAAGCTGAGCCTGGCCAAGGTTGGTGGCTCTACCCTGCAGTGGCCACCTTTTATACACCCCGCACGGGGCTGGACAGTGGGTCCGGCTTTTCTCCTCCCTTCCCCACCCTCTGACTGCTGCCAACGGCATTTGTTTCCCACAAGCCCAGTTCCCTGAACTCTCCCCAGTGGATTGAGCCTTGGCAGGGTGCGGGGTTGGGGGTGACTTTTTTTTTTTCTTAATCCTAACAAAAGGGATGATTCAGAGGGAACCGTGTTCTGCTGGCGACTACCCTTTTGACACCTGAATCCTATTTCACCTCTCTGGGTAGGGAGCTCACACCCACAGGTCTCAGCCCTGCCCCGTGGGAGATGGGGCACTTGGGGTGCGGGCCTGCCAGGCCCCTGAAGGGAGGGTGACTGTGTGGCTGCCTTGAGTTCGGCGAGGTCACTGCTGCCCTGAGCAGTCTTTCTGTTTCTAAAACTCAATGGAAATGTCCTGTATTCTTAACAGTTTCTCTACTTCGCCACACTCCAGCCACTCTGAAGGACTAGCTGCTTGGTCCTGTGGAATCAACTCCCTCAAAAGGGTTTGGGATGTGCAGTAAAGTGGCCCCCAGACCATCCGATGAAGTGACATCAACAGGGACCTTAGCAGTGCCTCAACACAGCTGGGAAAGCAGAGGCAGTGAACAGGGAAGCCCTCCGCATATTTGAACGCTGATACTCTCCGGGCCCCGACTAGGAACTTCTTACCCTGTCTCTCAAATCATCTGTTGCAGCCCAGAGATGGGTCCATCTGCCTAACCCCTGTCCCCTGTACACAAGGAAGCCCTGCCTTCAGGTCAAGGTCAGGTTGAACTCCACTCTGCTTCAATTTGAGCAAAGTCTGGGATTTGGAGGAGGTGGTCTGATGGGGCCTGGGCTATATCCAGTGGTGTTCAGGGGTTATTCCAGGCAGTGCTCAGGGAACCACGCGGTGCTGAGGATCGAACACGGCCTCTAGCATACAAAGCCCATTTGGCCACCTCCCTGCACCCAGGTTTGCTTTTCACCCTATGAAATATAAACATTTGAGCAGCTGAATGGCTTCTGAGCTTGGAATGAAGTTCTAAGCATGGACCACCAGAAAGTTCCCCAACAGCACCCCAAGCTCTCGGGCCTTTTCCCAGGTAATGACCAGCACCCTGAGCCCCTGACCTCAGGAATTTCAGTTGCTGTCCCCATAGAGCAACTAAGAGTTTTGCAGCCCCACAAGACACAACTCCCTAGGGACTCATCAACTGTGTCTGGGGACAATACGGTGATGGCAGAATCTAATGATCAGGAAAGGTGCTTCTTGTCCCACCAGGCCAGCCCACCAGACAGCCCCCAAATGCCAGTGGGATTAGGAACCCTGGACCGTGCCTATGTGTGTGTCTATGTGTAGGGTTGGTGGGGAGGGGTGGGGGGATCAGACCTGAGAGTAAATGAAGTCTCACAAGAAGCACAGTCCCATCCAGGTGCCCTTACTGACCCCCAACTACATGATGCCCAAGTCAGCTCGTGACAGCTTGACCAGGAGGCAACTTCGAGGAGGTGACCTAGCCTGGATGTGAAACTCAGGGACTGCTTGGTCACCTGCCCAAGGATCCTTGTGCTTATAGTTGGAAGAAGGTGACCTTTTGAGCCTAAGATAGTTGGAGAAATTTCCAGAATGAGAAGGGAGGAGCCTAGAAATGGACCCCTATCCCCACTCCTCACCCCAGCTCTATTTCTCACAGGGCCCAGAAAACTTTTCAGGAGCAACCTCTGAGCCCCAGCTGCCTTGAGGATGCACCTGAGGCCAGATGAGTGTGTGCAACAGGGCTGAAGCACAGGCCCAGGTAACACTGGATCCCCCTTGCTGAGTCAGCAGCCAGAGCAGATCAGGGCCCTGAGTCCAGGCTTTCTAGGTCTTTGATCCCATGGGGAAGGGGCAGGCCTGAGTCTCCGTCACTGCGCCTGTCAGCTGCAGGCAGAGTCCAGGTGCTGCTGGGCTCGGCCCACTCTGATGGCTCAGCACTCCCCCTGGAAAGCTGTGATTCAGCCCAAAGCAGGCCCTCGTGTTTCGTGGAGGATCAAACTGACAAGCAGGTGATGAATGGAACCTGCCAGGCTTGCAGCCTGTCCTCCCTGAACTGAAGAGCAGGTTGGGCCAACGCCCGGGAAGAACAATGCGCAGATCCTCTAAAGCCTGGGAGCACAAACACGGGGTGGCCGGGGCACGCCTCCCCATACAGGGCCAGCACCCCACCCTCACCACCCTCCCCTCCTGAGCAGACGCCTGTCACAGGGATCCTTGGCTCAAGTCCTGTCCACTGACCCACTCCGAGGCTCAGGGCCCTCGGGCTGGTGGGAGTGCCCCCCAGATTTACACATGCTGGTGGTGCTCCCCAGGGGTCGCACATGCAGGGGGTATTCCTCCAAGGCTCTTATATACTAGGGGTGCGCCTCAAGACTCACATGCAGGAGGGCTCCCCAAGGCTCTCACATGCTTGGGTGCTCCCCAAGGCCCTTACATGTTGGGGTGCTCCCTGTGGTTCCCACATACTGGGATGCTCGCCAAGGTTCTCAGATGCTGGGGTGTTCCCCAAGGCTCTCACATGCTAGGGGTGCTCCCCAAGGCTCCCACATGCTGGGGTGCTCCCCATGGCTCCTACATGCTGGGGTGTTCCCCAAGGCTCTCACATGCTAGGGGTGCTCCCCAGGGCTCCCACATGCTGGGGTGCTCACCAAGGCTCTCCCATGCTGGGGTGCTCCCCATGGCTCTTACATGCTGGGGTGTTCCCCGAGGCCCTCACATGTTGGGGTGTTCCCCAGGGTTCTCACATGCTGGGGTGTTCCCCAAGGCTCTCACATGCTGGGGTGTTCCCCAAGGCTCTCACATACTGGGGTATTCCCCAGGGCTCTTACATGCTGGGGTGTTCCCCAAGGCCCTCACATGCTGGGGTGTTCCCCAAGGCTCTTACATGCTATGGGGTATTCTCCAGGTGCCTCACATGCTGGGGGTGGTTCCCAGGGGTCACACATCTGAGGAGTGCTCCTGAGAGGGTCACATTTGCTGGGGGGTACTTCTCAGGGGTTGTGCGTGCTGGGGATTGCACTCAAGATTGTACACTTGTGCCACAGGGATCACACTCAGTGATGTGGGGTCACTCAGTCTGCTGGTTGTCAAACACCTTCTCACACTTGCAGGGAATGACATAGCCATGGGTCTGTGGATGTACCCCAGGCCCTCCTGCAGACATTGGACAGGCACCCATTGTCCCTTTCCCTCTCCCAGCCTGTCCTAATGGGCAGATAGAGGAGAGTTGAATTCTGAGCTTCCTTACCCCAAATTACTTCCCCCGGATCAGGTTCAATGGAGGAGAGTGGGAACTAGTCAGAGCGTGTACAACAGCTGGGACAGAATGAGGGTCCCCCTTTCCTTCCTATTGCTGCTTTCACTTGGGGTGCACACCACAGGGGTAGGGCTCACACACACCTGGTTGTGGCCCACCTCGTGATGGCACTGAACCCAGTGACTCTGGGACTAGAACGGGCCCTGGCATGTCGAGCAGTGCTGAGGATCCAACTCATGGTCTCACATCTCTACCACAGTCACATCCCCAGGCCCCAGAAGAGGGTTTTTGTTAACAGAGGAAGGTAGCTGAGGTTCAGGGAGGCCTGAGGTGGCTGGGGCTTAAAAGTTGCTCCTGAGAAGTTTTCTCCACACTCCTGGGCCCTGTGAGGAATAGAGCTGGGGGGTCCAACTCTAGGCTCCTCCCTTCTCATTCTGGAACTTTCTCCAACTCTCTTAGACACTAAGATGTCAACTTAATCTCAGGCCCACTCAGACACATTCCAGACACAGTCCCAGCAGCCTCTTCACAAACACAGTGGGATCTCCCAGGACTTCCGGCTACACATCTTCCATGATAATGAGAATAGCCAGCCAGCACTTCTGGGGAACTCTAAATGCCATGAAGCAGTTGGTCCTCAAAGCAAGCTCCTGGGCTTTTCATACTCATTTTTCAGATGAGGAAACTGAGGCCCAGACTTGTTGCGTTGCCAGAACTCCGCTGTATTCAGACTAAGATTCAAACCGCGGGCTCCTGGGTCTGTGCCCCAAACCACCTCCTGGAAAAATCCCTCTCTGGCTGGCGTCGGTGCCACCAGAGTTTGTAGGCCTGTAGGCTTCTGTCACTCCAGGTCTGGCAGCAGGTAGCCCTGCTGCCCACTGTGGCCTGTGGGGTCAGCCTGTCTGCCATTATCCCTGCTGTTAGCCCCAAAGCTCAGGGGCTCCCCAGGGCATTCATTCAACTCAGCATGATAAAGTCAGAGCTGTCAGAAGAACATTTCCATTCACACCCCTCATTTCACATATGGGGGAAACTGAGGCCCAGAAGCCAAAGCGCAGCACAGTGGGAATCAAGAGGGAAATGCACAGATATCCAAGCATCCCCCCTAACTCTTCATGGATCCCGATAAAGAAATGACTCCAGAGAAGCCTCAGCAATGCCTCGCAGCTTCTCTAAGCTTTGTCCATGCTCACCAGGGTATCTGTCTACAGGGCTAAGGCCCAGAGCCTGCCCCTGCCCAATCTGAGGATGCTTACTTGGATTCAGGACCAGTCTTCTCCCTCCTTCTATCTCCCCTTGACACCCAGGGCCCAAAGCCTGGGGTCACTGGCCTTTCCCAGAGAGTCTCCAGGGACTCCCCCCCTTCCCGAGGGAACTCTGATAGGCAGAGGGTCTCTACAACAGACCTGGTCCTCTGGGCATCCCTAATCCCATATGGTCCCCAAAATATGGGGTGCAGAGGAGAGGTTGGTATTCAGGAACCTCCCCCAGACCTACCCCGTGCCTCTCCAGCTGCTCTTATAGCACCAGGCTTATCAGAATCCTGACACTCCTCCACCCCACTCGATCAGCAAGGACACTGGACCAGCTGGGCCTGGGTTTCACCCCTTGACCTGCCATGGCCTCATCTGTGACCGTGGACAGTCCCTCATCCTCTTGGACCTCAGT